CTCAGAGCAGGGGTTCACCCTTTGGTGCAGCCAACGGGGTGAGGGGTGTGTTTTTGTGGGTGCCAGCCTTGCCAGGGCTCCCCGGGTGCTCCCCTTGTCCTTCCCCAAATTTGCCCACAAGAGGGAGGCAGCGACTTGCGGTGTCGGCTCCCACCGTGCGCGGGTGTCACAGGGTCCCAGGCACCACGCTTGGGCTGCGTGGGGGCCCGTGGGCTGCGTGGGGGCTGTACCTGCCCTGCACCCCACCCGAGAACTGCTGGCAGCCGGGTCCTCCATGGGATGGCCACCAGTGGGTGGCTGGGGCTCATCTCACCCTGTCTGGGAAGAGCTGAGGGAGAGCATTGTCTTGACTTTCTGGCTTTTTTTTTTTTTTTGGGCGTGTGTGTCTCAAAGCATGGAAAGATGTTGTTGGTGTTCATTTTTTTGACCTGAGTGAGATTTCTGTCCTCTTCCAGGTCTGGGTGAGACCTGTCATGGTGCTGTTGCCCATTAGCAGAAGACTTCTTCTTTGCTGGTGACACAGGGAGTTGCTGGCAGAAGAAAGGGACTGGAGGGTACTGTCCTTGACAACCCTTTTCCATATCTCTCCAAACCATCAGGTCTTGCTTGTAGCAGAGCAAAGGAGCCCAAAGGGAAAGGCTGAGGGACTCTCTGGAGTGTTTACCAAGGTGAACCTTGGAAACTGATGCCTTTCTATGGACCTGGGGAAGGCAGAAAAGTCCTGCAGGTGCAGGAACTCTCCTCAGCGGTCCTGGATCCAAGACAATAGCCATGTTTTCAAAACAGCCCTCTTAGCAGCCTGCCTGCCTGCCTTGGAAATACTCCTGGGACCTAGTTGCAGGCAGCTAGGCTCCAATTACAGCTTGGTCCCCATGAAGCTGGCCAAGACCTTTCCTACATGGGGAGTTGTTGAGGTAGGGTGGTTAGCCCTGGTCAACTAAGGTGGACAAGAGGTCACCATTTGTTCTGATATCAAAATAACAGGTTCATCACACATGATTTACTCCAGTGCTGCCTGGACGACTCCAAACATAAGCATGTTCCTGTGGGAAGTTCAAGGGAAGTTGATAGCAGCCGGGAATTTCTGTCTCAGGCCCTGGGTCTTTCCATTGCCCAAGAAATGCCCTGCTTCTCATGCAGTTGTGATGCCCTCCTGGCTAACAAGGGCAGAGTTGAGGCTTGAAGCTGAGGTAAGACAGACCATCCCAGATCATGCCTCCTGGCAAGCAGTGGGCTCTGGGGTCACCTCACCCCATAGAAGCAGTTCATTCTTCCATGCAAAGTGGCCTCGCTCCAGCAAGGGCATGGAGATTGCTTGCCACAGAGAGCTGTAACTTCTACAAAGGCTTCCTTTCTCCAAACTGCGACACAATTGTTGGAGTTAAATAAATCTGTCATGCACAAAGAAAACTGCGTTAAACAGCGTCCTCTCCCACTCCAGCCGGATAAAAGCTGGGCCTTTTGGAAAGTGTTTAAAAAACATTTTTCATTCCCTTGTGTTCACTCTTCCCTTCTGTTGCATCCCCATTGCACTCACTCATTCAGGAGCCTGCACAAGGACTTGAATTTCTAATAGGAACAAAAAAAGCAGAAGGGGAATAAACCCAGTGTTAAAACCCATTCAGAGCTTCTATTATTTGGGACCAAAAGGGGAAGGTCCCTTGCAGGTCACTTTCAAATGTGTCTGTCTAGAGGCAAAGAGATTCAAAGTGCATTTATCATCCTTCTTATTCACCCTCTTTGTTGTCCACAGCAACCCAGGGATTTTTTCCTGCTCCGTGATGCGGTGATTGCTACAAACCCGGCTGGGCTCAGCCACCATGCGAGGGAGGAGGGCTCTCCCCGGCCTCACACATCAGCAGCACAGCTGTGAGCTGCACACACCTCTGTCACAGCATTGGTGGTGACATGCAAGGTGGAAGGCACCCGGGACAACTTGTCCCAAACCTCAGCTGGGCTGGAGGGCAGCAAAACCTGGGCTGTGGTGGGAGCAGCCAGCTGGAACCCTTTGCGCATAGTAATTCACCAAAAATGGGGTTTCAGCAGGACCAAAAGGAGCTGTAAGTTCAGGTTTCAGTCGTTTGGATGTATGTGAAAGTGTCAGCGTAGTCCTGCTGGATGTTTCCAAGGCAAAATGTCTCATTTCAGAAGTGCCGGAGTATTTCATTAGACAGCCTTGAAACAAAACTCCTTTCCTATTTTCATAGGGCATTTTTATTTAAAGGCTGACCCAAAGCAGGAGAATATGAGGCTAAGCAAAACCAGTGGGTAGCCCAGAGGAAAGGGTTCCTTTTGAGTCAGGGGGACAAACGACTCCAGAGAAACCCCTTGTAATAGTTCTGATCCCTAGGCTTGGTCCCCAGCCCAGAGTGACAGCAAACTTTAGGTCTGGAGGGATGACAAGGAATAGGCAAAGAGGGAGCTGTGGGAAATGGCATGGATGGGGGAGAGAAAAAGGTAAAGGCAGCATGTGGGTGATGGTAAAGGAATAGAAGTGGGAGAGGAAGATCTTCTGCTTAGCTTTTGGGGGTGCAAAGGAGGACATGGTGAGAGAGGAACAGGCAGCCCAGAGTAAGGCAAACTGAGGCATGGGTTGGAAGAAAGGCTGGAAGCTTTGGAGCTTGCTGGGGGAGTTTTGCTATGAAAAGGAGCTCATTGCCCATCCAGGGGTGAAGTCCATGAAGCTGGTTGAGCTTCCCTGAGGTTCAGGAAAGAAGTTCAGTGCTGGGAAGGCTGTGGAGGGAGCAGGCCAGCCAGGCTGCATGACCCAGAGCCTGGGGAGTGCAGTGACGATGTCCCTGGTGGGTTGTTGAGACAGGCAGGACCCACATGTGTCAGTGGGACAGAGAAGGAGTCATGGGGTGGTCTGTTCCTATGGCTCAATGTCTCCAAGTCCTTGTACCCTCCAGGATCCTGATGTGGAAGGGGAGTTCTCTTCTCTCTCCATATCTGGCTGGTGGCTGCTGGGGCATCTTTCCTCTCCTCCCACTGGGAACAGTCTGGCCTCCTGCCTTACCCCCGTGGCATCCCTTTGCAGCCTTGCGCCCCTTCACAGATCGTGTGGGGCTGCTCTTCTCACCGAGGCCAACATTGTCATCTGTCAGTCAACATGGTGTCACCTGAGCTCCGGATCCCTCCTGGTGCCTTTTAGGTCCCCCCATCTCTTTCCAAACAGGTGGCTATGAATTAATGAGGTCTAGGGATAGTTAGAGAGTTATAAATATCTTCTAAGATGATGAATTTTAATCAGGACCCTCTAACAAGCACAAGATGAAATCAGGAATGAGAATGATGGCCCCCTAATGGATCTTCATTAACAATTTAAATGACTGAGGTCTTAATTAAAGGGCTCAGGACTTAGCTGAGGGATTACAGATTGCCCAGGGGGAGAAATCAAAGACTTCAAAACCCCTTTTTTACAGAAGGTAACGAGCTTTTAAATTAGATTAAAAAAAAAAAAAAGAACAAGGCCTTGCTGTTTTATCTGGCTTCTTCACTCATTTAAACCATGCTCCGATCTTGAAATGTGCAGCCTTGGCCTGACAGTCCCCCATCACGTGCAGGTCCCCACACTGCTCCTGTCACCGCCTCACCTCCGCGTCCCACTGAACACTGACCCTTGGGGACAGACAGCAGGACATTATCCCTGTTCCCCTTAGGGAATCCCCCAGGGACTCCTGATCCCAGGGGAGATGTCTGCAGGGAGACATTGAGATGACCCCAATCTTTGTCAGCTTTACAGCTCCCTCCTTGCTTAGTTGCTCTGAAATACTTTTCCTAGAGGAAAACACTGCATATGTTCAGCTTGTGTTTGTGAAGAGTTTCAGGATATACAAAACCAGATTTTTTTGACACTTGTAGTATTTTTTCATGCTCAACCCCAGGCCTGTTGCTTATGGCACGGATGCTAGGCAAGCATTGATCTTCTCTGCAACACTCAACCCAGAAATTGTCCTCCCTCCTGGGATGAAGTGACCCTCTTGTCTCTATTCTTCCCTGCAACCAACACAACTCCACCTCATCCAGGCAGCCCATTGTGCAACGGCTCCTGAGGCTGAATTACCCGGGCTTTAGGTTGACATCTGAAAAGTGGTGACCTCTGTTAATGCCAGGCTCTGCCAGTGATTGTTGTCTCTCTGTCAAGTCTTGGGGACACGAGGAGGGAGTGGGTGCTTGGAGGTTGTTGCATGAGAGAGCTCCAGAGCAGAGGAGGAGTTTCAAACCATGGGGCAAAGATGAGCGCTCAGACCTCCCGATCCAGTGCTTCTTTCCAAGAAGGAGAGGGACAGACAGAGGTGGAGCCAGAAAGGGGGATGCTGCAGAGGGATGAAAAGAGATGCCCCAGGTGAATGGTCACAGTGGAAGTGGCTCCAAAACCTGTGACTGGGGCTGAATCCTGGGTCTAATGAGGGTCAGGAGCAGGTCTCGCACAGAGGAAAGGACACCTCTGTGCTATGCTTCAGAGAAGCTGCTCTTCAAAAGCATCTGCATTCCTGGCGGCTCCTGAATCTTTGCTGCTCCCATGGGTAGAAGCTCAAGGAGGGTTATCTGCAGGGGTGGTTTGAGGAACCTGTGTGAAGAACAAGTCATTTAGGAAGAGCAGAAACACTGGGGCTGGATTTCCTTGCTTTTTGTGTCTGGAGGAATAGCCTCCGTAGGAATGCTCTCCTGATTAATAAGGTCTGAACTTCTCCAGCCTACAGGCATCTGTGAAGTCCTAGATTCTCCACAATCCTCCCAAAAATCACTAGATGTTTGGAGATGAAGCTGGGCAAGCTTTCAGAGGGCTGAGAGATACACAGAGGCACAGAGTGCTGTCCCATGACCTCTGTTTCATTAGGAAACTTGGCTAAAATGGACGGATGCACTTGGAAAGTGAAGCAGGAGCCCTTTCCAAAGGGGCTGGCTTGGCTTCGCGCAGTCTGCTTCAGAGCAAAGATAAAGGGCACTATAAAACCTGCAAAAGCCCATGAACTAGTGTGCTGAGTCTCACTCCGGGCTCCATGTCGGAGAGCTGCTGTGGCTCCAGCACAGTGAGGAAACTGTGGCTGAGAGCTTTGAGCAGCCGCAGGATGGGGCATCCTCACCCCAGAGGGGGAGCTGGGAGCCCAGTGCACCTCCATGGACATGGTGCCTCCAGGCTCAGCCACCTCTGCACGGCTCCTTCAGGACCCAGGGGTGACAGCAGATGAACATGGAGTCCTGCAGAGCTCCAGGTATGAGGGAGGAAGGATGGGATGCAGTAGGGCTGAGCATGGGCTCTGCCAGAGCCTTTCAATGGAGTGGGGCTGGGTACCAGCCTGGGGCATTGCACAGGGGGCTTGGCCCTGGGTGAGGGGTGTGGGGGTGCAGAGAAACTGCTGTGAGTCCTCCCTCTGCTTCGGACTCTCATAAGAGAGCTCAGCCTGGGGTGCACAATCCTAAACACAGTGCCCATGTTCTTCTGCTCCCACTCCCTATCTCAAAGGTCCCACAGCCCCAGCATCTTGGCTTGCACAGCTTCAGGGCCATTGACTCCTCTGAGGTGCCAAAGGACCACCACTGACTCCCAAACTGTGTCCCCTGGGAGGGAGAATTGGGCTGTGAGAAGAACAGGCAAAACCCTGGTGTCCTGAGATGATGAGCCAGAGAAAGTAAGTCCTTCCAGGGCACGGGGCACTGAATAAAGGGGCTGCTTCACCTCCTGTGCCTGCTCCTCCCTCTTCTGCATCCTTGCCCTTGCCCTGGTGATGCGCTGCCCAGGGCACCAGGACATGGGGCTGGCTTGTCCCTATCATCAGCCCCGCACCAGGTGACCCACCCATCCTCCTGCTTCACCTCCTCTCCTGGTGAGTCCCGGGCTCCACAACCAGCCGAAAAATTGTCCCCATGCCAGGCAGAGACACAGGGGTGGCTGATTTATCCTCCCCATGCTTGGTGCACCAAGGACTCCTCACCACTGAGCCGTGTCTCCAGGCAGGCACTTGGATTTCTGTAGAGACGGGGGAGGCAGCTGGACTGTTACCTGTTTCAGACAGCGAAGATCTGGCAGGAAGGTCCTTGCTCATCCCTTCACTGGAGACTCCTGAGGATCTGGGGATTTTGGACACCTCCTCTGCAGTGTAACAGGTAAGAAAGCCACCCAGCAGTTTTGGGTCTGCACAAGGTGGAGGCTTGTCTCCATTCCATTGCTTCCCAACCAGGTGCTGGGACAGAGGCATTATCTCAAGATCAGGGCTGGTATTGTTATGCAAAAAGCCCTGGAGATACTGGGGAGGAAGTTTCTCCGGGTTGCAGTGGGAGGGGGATGAATAGGGCTGGGGAAAGAATGGATGGGAAGTAGTGGCCTTTCCTAGCCACCGAAAGTTGTTGTTTTTGTCACCCTCAGCATGGCAGGTGACCTCCAAACTCAAGGACACCAGCCTTGTCCCAAAGAGGACATGTCTGCAGATGAGGACAAGTGGGATGGTGAGGGCTGAGACCTGGCACTAGGCAACATTAATGGAGATGTTAATGACTTTCAAGGGAATCTCCCCTGTTTTCTTCCTGCTCTTGCTCATCTGTTCAAGGCTTAGTGACCCTATGCCCTTGTGAGATTTTTGGAAGGGGCAGCAATCTCCTGCCTGAAGGGGCAAGCTGTCTATGCAAGCTGTGGGGTTCAGGATAATGGTCCTTGTGGAGACCCTTGATGGGCCACAGGAGATGCCTGCAAACAGAATGTAACCCCTGGAAGACACTACCAGAGGGGGTAGACCCGCTGGGGCCTGGAAGGGGGTCAACCCAGACCCATCTTCGCCTTTTTCATGCTCCTCATGGATGAGGTTGTGAATCCCCTAAAAAAACACCCCATCCACCCAGTTGTGATGCTGGCCCCCTGTGCAGATCCAGGAGCTGGGGGGTATCTTACCCACCCCCAGCTGCTGCCTGTGCTTCTCCTGCTGCAGAGACCTGGCCGGAGCAGTGTCTGTGGTGCACCCACCGCCGCCTGCACCGACCCCATCGCCATCCCCGCAACCCGAGGTGCGAGGGTGACTTCACCGGCTGCCCGGGGCTGGCTCAGGAGGGGCAGCAGCTGTGGGTCTGGCGGGGACTTACACCTATCACTCTGTAACTTCTGACGGAGGCTGGATTTGCTGAAATGTTCACTGGATTTTTTCCAGCCTGCTGGGAACCATAAATCTGGCTGTGCAGAGGCCGCTCCTGCTCCTTCCCCTCAGTGAGCGGGGCTGCTATTTTTCTTGGAGGGTGAGACTGGTTGCAACCCTCCTTCCACCACCTGCCTCTCCACCTCGAGCCACATTCCTGAGCGGTGGCGGAGAATGGGTCCGTCTCCGCCAACTGGGGATGCTGTGGCCTCTGGGCTGGCCCTGCTTCCCCCAGCTCCTCTGCAGCAAGGCTGTGAGGAGGCGCTGGCCTTCTCCCGGCTCCCACAGAAGCCTCTTTTCTCCATCCATCAATCTGCTTCAGAGCTGGAGAACCTGGCTTAGTGTGTGTTAGGAGCAGGACTCTGAAGACCATCTCTGATGGCTTTTTCTTGCACAGAGGGACCAGAAACACCTTGTGGTGGCTGAGCATCCTGTTCAGCATTGATTCCTGGGGGACTACTAGGGCTCAGCCTGGGGTTTGGGGTGTAGCATGACTCCAGGGCATTTCATAGCACTCTCCTCCCTCTATTGGCATGGAGTTCTCTGTGCCTCTCCTTTGGAGCTCAAGAGATCTTGTTGCTGGCATGGGAGCTCCCAGATCCCAAGAAACAATCAGGGATTCCCAATGTGGGGGGTCTCTCCCACCTGCATAGGACATCTCAATCTCCAGGTGAGTAGATCATCAGCCGCAGAGCTGATGGAGAATCACACTATGCGAGGAACGGGGAGGTGGCTGGGCTGTGACAGTCCTGGATGTCTGTCATTTATGGGCATGCCCATCATTTAACATTTCTCTCCCAGACTGGGATCTGCAACATCCCAGCTGCTTTTCATCCATTGATCCTTTCCCAGTTCCTCATGCCCCACTCCAGAGATCACCTTTGAGTGAGGAGCTCTGCTTTGGCCCTCGTGATGCACCAGAGAAGACTGCGGTGTCCCTGGGAGACACTCCAATATTGAGTGAGTGTCCGAGCGGCTCCTTCTTGCCCCCCACCCACCACAGTCCTCTTGTCCCCATCACCTGGACAGTTTTCCCTGTCTGTTGCCAGTGATTTCCGGATCCCCTGGGATCTCACTGTCAAGGATGCGTGAGACCTGAAGGGATGTGGGATAGAGTGTGGCTGGCCAAGGGATGCTGGGTGAGCATCATGGCTCTTCCCGCTGAAAGAGCCTGGGATGTGCAAGGGAAAGCATGTGCATGTATGAGAGGGCTGTGGAACGCACCCCTGGGCAGTGTGTGGAAAGGCAGCTCCGAGAGCTCTTCCTACGCCGGGATCCTGTTACATGCCTCCCTGTAATTAGCCTCTGGCTTTCCTGGCGGAATGAGCAATCGTTTCTGTAATCTGCCAGAGCAGAGTTATGGGCATGTCAGGCTGGCACAGGGGGGCTGTAAAACCAGACCTGCCTGACCCGAAGCCATCATTTGTCAAAAGGAAACCACCTGGCCAGAGAAAAGGGGATTTATTTGCTTCTTCCTTCATCCCATTCTCACAGGCAGAATGCTGGCTCCTTGGGGAGTCCCCAGCCCTGCCGCCACAAAAAGCAGCCGTTTGTGCCTTGTTCAGCTCTGTTCCCCAGTGCTTCCAACCCAGCGTCACACTCCCCACAGGTATCTTAACAACCCGCACTTTCTGGTCCCAGAAACGTCTTGCACTTGTCCCCAGTATCACATGGACAAATTAGGAGATTTTTGTGGTCGCTTCAAATGGCTCTGTCATTCTCCAGGCCTGCTCTGCATGGAGACGGGGTGCCTCTGTGGTGTTTGCCCAGGTGAACACCTCATGCTTTACCCAAATCTTTTTTGCTCTGTGTTTCCAGGAATGTTTCACAGGAGGTGTCCAAAATGCAGCTGCAGCCAAGGATCACCTCCAGCAGCATGGCTTTTCTACTGACCATCACCTGCTGAAGATCACACACCAGGAAAAGATCATATAACGGCCCCACAAGGAAATACCTTGTTCCACAACCCCTCCTATAAGATGTCAGGTATCTTACAAGCAGATCAAGGACTTGGGGTGCAACTTCATTCAAATTTAAAAGCCCATTCCCTTGAGCTGCCAAATTTGGCCTGAAAGATTCAGCCAAATTCCTGGTCCTTCCGGTGCACTGCGGAGACCTGATGAGACCTTCCAGCTCCTGCCACCTTCTGCCCACGTCTGTTCCTCCTGTACCTGACCTCATCACACCAGCAGCATTGGGCCACCTTTGCTGTGTGCCAGTTTGGATGCCCAGTGCATGACAGCATCTTGTCTCATGGTAGGTGACTCATTTGGGACCTGCCCCAAGTCCCACTCTGAGATTTCTGTTCCAGCCACATTATTAGCTCCCAGCCTTGACAATGGGCTCGTTAGCCTTAGCTTACTCATGCAGCATCTTTCTTCTGTACTTTCTGATTAAAAACATCTTTCTGTTTCATCTTTATGGGAAGTACAGCACTTATTGCTGGGCTGCAGCTTCATTTAACCTCTTTGGCCTAAGTTAGCCAAAAATATCTAAACACATCAGGTTTTCAGAAATATAGCTAACTCCCAACCGTCTCTTCTGGATACGGAGTGACACGCTGCCAAGTGTTGGTTGCTTGCCCCCCAGGAGATCCCACTTGTCCAGGTGCTGCCAGCACACTGGAGTGCTCTTTGCCTCTGGGAACCTTTTGTGGTTTAGTGGTCATGAAGTTTGGATCCAACAAAAGTCTGAAGAGGCTGATGTGTACTTGGGGTGTACCCGATCTTCTTGGGTACCCTACACCTCAACATCTACAGTTTCCCCAAGACCGTGTCTCACCTGAGGTCAGCTTGGTCTTACTCCAACACTGAGCGGTGGTGACACTGCTCAGTTTGTGCATGGGAGTCTACTGGTCATAGCAATTGGCCTTAACCAGAAGACTGGTTTTCTTGGCTGCTGGCATTAGAGGAAACTCCTAGGAAGGGCCTCATGTACAACTTACTTACACAGCTCTCTAAGGAGCTTCCTTGTCAGACAGAAGCAAAACCAAGGATGCCAGACCCTTGCTTGGGGAAGCCAAGTGAGAACCTCTGTGCTGGAGAGGTGCTCCAAAAGAATGAAGCCCTTCCTGATCAAAAGAGAAAGCACTGACCCCATACCAAGGGAAGAAGGTTCTCTCCAACTCTTGTAAGCCTCTTCATGGTATGGTGGAGGTTGCTGAGACCAGATGAGAGACAGCTCCAGCAACGTCCTGACTCTGGTATTTCTTACTGTGTCCTAGCACATTGTGCTGCCCAACCTGAGCTGAGCCCCACATTTCATGTCCCACGGGGCACGCAGGCACCTCAATCTGCTCCTGGAGATGATTTTGCTCCAGGCTCCCATTGGGTTTTGCCTGGCAGATCAGTGCAAGTGGAAGGTCTGCAGGAGAAAGCTTCATTCCATGTTCAGTCCCAGCTGGATGACCGTCAGGCCAAGGCAGAGGAGCTGCACACACACTCGTGTGTATGCAGGATACTGAGGCTGAAAGACCAGGGTTTGAGGGACTGGGTTACAGCGTGCCCCACATTGGTGTGTCACAGCAGCTGGAAGTGCTGCCTGGTGTTTACTTCTTTTTATTCACTGCTTTCAGATCCAAAGAAACAGCTGAAAGCTCTGAAAACAGTGAATTTAGAAGGGAAAAAACACACTCAGAAACTGAAGAGATCAAGGGAGCTTCAAAGGCTTTATATTCCAAGAATCTGGGATTATTTTTGGGAAGGCAAGTGGGGCAGAATAATGAAAGGCAGCAGATAGCCCCTGCCTCTGATCCCGTTGGGCTGTGGGTGCTCTAAGGGCGGCTCGACTCGGATTCATTTGGGCAGATCCCAGGAGGAGGAGAGCCAAGACTCGGATTTATTTCTGCAGTTTCCCATTATCCAAATGTCCTGCTGGAACAGCACCAAAAGGCAGAGCCGGGAGTTTTGTAACACTATTTTTGACTGCAGTGCATGGTGCTTGCACATCCCACAACCAGAGTGGGCTTCCTGGGGCA